TAAAGTTATTGAACAAGTTAGTTCAATAAACATGTACATTAAATGTCATTACTCACCGTTTAATTCTCATTGAATAAATACACGTACTGGTGTATTATAAATTAGGCTTTAACGTTTTATATAAGGGACATTTATGAATAGATTATTAATCCCACAGTGGGTAATCCTCAAGTCAAGGCAGCACACACAGAGAATACGATTGTAATTTGAGTTATAACAAACGGGTTATAGTATAACCTGCAATAAAAATAGAATAAAAATTAGGAAGCAAGTTTACAAAAAGAGACAAGTAAACCTATTAGTACAGCACTGGTTGGTGTTAACCATCGACATATAAATAACAAGTCACCAGGTATAGATGGCTTGGCTGGTTTCTGAATTTTATAAATCTTTTGAAAACAATTTAGCTCCTTTTCTATTTGAGGTCTTTTTAGAAAGTATAGTTAGAGGTCACCTCCCTACAACAATGACTCAAGGTTTAACTATTGTGATCCCCAAACCAAATAAAGACCTATTGTTTATTGAAAATTGGCGTCCAATATTGTTACTTAATAATGATTATACAATTATACAAGAAGATTGAAGAAGGTATTGGACACAATTATTGAAGATATTTTGGGAGAATGTGCTGTTTGGTCTTTTTGCAACTGGTTTGAACAAAAACTCTCTAAACATGATTAACCTCTTAATTTTGATGGCAAAGTTTTACATCCACTGTTGTAAATATTCTGGTAAAAAAACCATGCTTTGCAGCATTCTTTAACACTTTCAAACGATACATATTTTCTATTAATAGTTCTAAAAAGACAGAAGGCTCTTAAAACTATTGAAATATGTACACTTTTTTATGTTTTCATTTGAATACTAATACCCCTATTATGATCTAGCATTATTATTATTTTATGTTTTGTAAATATTATTCTTTTTTTATTTTTTATTATCTTTCTATCTTTTTTTCATCCTCTCTTTCCTGCTAGGCATATTAGATATATTGTAACTGTTACCAAAGCTCATATATGTGTATTTGTGAATAACTTCAATTAAAATAAATAAATAAATAAATAAATAAATAAATAAATAAAAAAAAAGTAAGTGCTGCAGCCAGGTCATCAGATAACAAAAACAACTTCATCCAAGAGCATCTGGCTGCAGACATCAGCTGGCGTCTTTGCCGTGACAGGAAATGACGTATCCGGAAAAACAAGTGTCATTACCTTCGCCGGAAGTCATTACCTTTGCCGGAAGTAGTTTTTTTTCGGGTCATTACCTTTGCCGGAAGTAGTTTTTTTCTTGAATACGCTTTATTGACAAAGCATAAAAGTAGTTTGGATTTGTCAAAACCATACCGTGTCGTTTTTCTCTTCGATTTGTACACATTTAAGAGAAAAATTACACGGTGGGTCATTACCTTAACCAGAAGTCATTACTTTCACTGGAAGTAGTTTTTTAAAAAAACAAAACTTACCGGAAAAAGCTTTTTATTTCGGATTTTTTTTTCTCTTCTGATCTGGACTGGCAAACTTAAGTAACGTTGTAACCTGCGTTGCATGAAAATTGAATATTAAATCCCTTTGTTCTTCAGACAGGGAATTTTTATGACAGTAGCACATACATACATATTCATATATATATATATATATATATATATATATATATATATACACACACACACATATATGTATATATATACACACACACAATAAAAGGCTGTAAAGTGAATTAAAAAACATATGGATAAAATGAGAACACGTTAAACTAAGACTTTTCAAAATGTGCAAACAAAATAGTACTGGCTAAATATTCAGTTTTATTGTTAAGCCCAAGATGAACTTTTGACCTACACCAATTGCTAAAGTACAGGACTCCCAGAAGCAGTGAAAAACATTTCAGCAACACTCCTCTCTCACCAGCAACAAAAATTAGTTATTAAATATCCATAACACTGTCCTATTGTGTATCACAGCAGCTCATTGCAACAGAATTTAACTACTACAGCTGATAACTATTTAGCTACTTGGTATTTATTTTGAGTGAAAGACAATAAAACCAAAGAAACACTTGATTTCACAACCATTTTATTTTGGGTACAAATGAATTTGCTGAAGCATGGCTTTCTCAGCTGCATAATGATTCATCCCCTCCCATTTTTCCAACACTTTTATTGTTACCTGAAAAACATGCAGGATTACTTCAACGTCGTCGTCTTCCTCCGCTTATCCGGGTCCGGGTCGTGGGGGCAGCATCCCAACTAGGGAGCTCCAGACCGTCCTCTCCCCGGCCACCTCCACCAGCTCCTCCGACAGGACCCCAAGGCGTTCCCGGACCAGATTGGAGATGTAACCTCTCCAACGTGTCCTGGGTCGACCCAGGGGCCTCCTGCCGGCAGGACATGCCTGAAACACCTCCCCGGGGAGGCGTCCAGGAGGCATCCTGACCAGATGCCCAAACCACCTCAACTAGCTCCTTTCGATCCAGAGGAGCAAAGGTTCTACTCCGAGTCCTTCCCGAATGTCCGAGCTCCTCACCCTATCTCTAAGGCTGAGCCCGGCCACCCTACGGAGGAAACTCATTTTGGCCGCTTGTATCCGCAATCTCGTTCTTTCGGTCATTACCCAAAGCTCATGACCATAGGTGAGGATTGGGACGTAGATCGACCGGTAAATCGAGAGCCTGGCTTTCTGGCTCAGCTCCCTCTTCACCACGACAGATCGGCTCAGCGTCCGCATCACTGCAGACGCTGAACCAATCCGCCTGTCGATCTCCCGATCCCTCCTACCCTCACTCGTGAACAAGACCCCGAGATACTTAAACTCCTCCACTTGAGGTAGGACCTCTCCCCCGACCCGGAGTTGGCAAGCCACCCTTTTCCGGTCGAGAACCATGGATTTGGAGGTGCTGACCCTCATCCCAGCCGCTTCACACTCGGCCGCGAACCTACCCAGCAAGAGCTGAAGGGAGCAAGAGCTGAAGGTCAGAGCCACATCATCCGCAAAAAGCAGAGACGAGATTCTCCTGCCACCAAACTCTGTTAAGGATTACTTCATACACTGTCAAATGTTTTCGAAAAGTAACTTTTATACCAATCACTGTTGAAGCCTGCGTTGTACCTCTGGAACAAGGACATCAAACACCAAGTCCAGAAACTGGAACTCTCTCTTCTTTATTAGTTTATCTATTCCTGAGCATGAACCAGTCCGCTCTGTCAGCTCGTCAACCTATAAAACACGTTAACATAAAAATGAACAAAACGTTCCTCTCAGCATTAGACAACGGACCCAGGTGGCCCACTGACCACGCATCCACATAAATAAATGTGATGCAGCTTATTGTAAGTCAGTATACATTTACCTGTGCATCAGCAAAGTGGAACATCAGTGGCTTTAGTCTTTGCTTTAATTTAAGCGAGACACCTGGATTGTGCCACAGATACATGAGGCCAGACTTCACTCCACCGCTGCAGAGATCCTTATACAAAGTCTGAGTAGAGACAAGAGTTAAAAATAAGCAACATTACCACAGATAACAAGGGATTGCATTATCCTATGTCCAATTTTAGAGTCTTAATTTATTATAATTAAACATTACCTTGATTTCACCATCTGAAATCACTGCCTGGGTTCCATTTTTCAAAGCTTCGATTGTCCTGTAATTTAGATAAAAATACATCTTATTAGCAAATGAAGAATACAAGCACATGTAAGGAGTTTTGTCAGGGTCACTTGAAGAAGTCCGATATTAATTTTAGATCTATATTTAAGGCCTGTAACTCCTGAATGATTTGCAGCTACATGTGCTTAAATCCGGTAATATTAATATAAACCAAACCCGATCAAAGCAGTCAGTCAACAAAAATATCTATTTTTTATAAGGATAGGATTATTCTGAAACAGAATCAGAAGGAGGGCGGCATTAATTAGAGAAGCGGCTACTATTTCAAAGTTATTGTACCTGTTGCAGGACACCTGATTTGTGCAACCACAGTAGAATGACCCAGCACACCACACACAATAACTGAAAAATATTTAGAGATATTGAAAGCTAAGCTTGTCCAGAAAATACATTTTATTTCTGGGTGCACAGGACCAGTTCCAGTGTGGGCCAGATGCTGAAAAATAAATTCATAAATCTGTCTTTTTGAAGTTTCACAAATCAGAGGAAGGTTTCACAAATCACAAACTATGTTTTATGCATTCCTACGAGCCCAGAATAATTTAAAACAGGTTTGAAGAGTGTATGTATTGCAGGTTTTGAGCTAGAGCAGAATAAAAATGGTCAGAGTAGAGAAAAATTGGGTGTATTAGCCCTTTAGCCATTTCCCGAATCGGAAGCTAACTTTAGCCTCGTATGAAAACTAGTGATTGAAACCACTTACGAATCTCTGAAAATCTACGCTTTTTAATTAAAAAAGGGTATTAATAACGTTTCAGTTAAGTCAGTATTAGAAATCGTGGTCTTTATATCATATCTAAATTATATATAAAGTTAATATTATTACTTTAACTGTTTTAACAAACAGGGAGACCAGAAAAATCAAATAGCTAAGTTAAAGCTAAGCTACAATTGCTGATAGCTTTATTTATGTAGCTTTTGTGTTCGCTAGCTTGTGATCTCCCTGAATTAGTTTTAAGACTGCGTGTTAATATTGATACAATTAGCTATGAAACACGGTGCCTTTGCAATAATTCTCTGGTAAAGCTTTAAACGCTACAGTGCCTACATTTAAGAACTAAGAACGGTTGCAACAATTAGTTAATTTCATCCTTATCCTTCTTTCTTTATCTATCATCCTTATCCTTACCTTTCCTCAATTGAAACCCGCCGAGTATGGTTGAAACAAAAACAACGTAGCGGCCGCCAAAAAAGGACCAACTTCCTGCCGAGGTCTTTCGCTCGTCGATTTTCCGGTAAAAGTAATGACACGCCATCTTGCTCTCGACACACCAGCTGATGTCTGCAGCCAGGTCCTACTCACTTCATCTCCCACAAAACCGCACAGCGTCACGTGCACGTTACGCAGCTCACGTGACCAAAAACAACAAAACATGGCGGATGTCGAAGAAACGAAGTCCCAAAGTGGACTGTTAAATAGAATAGCTCAAATGGTTTATTACAACAAGAGCGAAATCACTGAAGAGTTACTGAAAGATGAACTTTACCCGGAAATGTCACGCGAGGAGTTCAAGGCTTTGTACGACAAGATGAAAGGTCTTCTAAAGGTCAGTAATGTCTACCGGTTCTGAGTTTTCGACTGAAAACAGCATAGAGGTCTCCAGACGTTAGCTGATCGCGTTCTGTTCTGGCGGTCTTTTCACACCCGGAACTCATTTCACTAAAGCTAGAATACCTAAAACACGGCTCAGAAAGATAAGAGGAGAACCACTCCGGAGCTGTTCCTGATAGGTCTACCTAGCCTCTCAGCCTCTCCAGTAGCAGGTGATGGTCAACAGTGTCAAAGGCTGCAGTCAGGTCCAGCAGGACCAGAACAGAACAGTCCCCTGCATCACTGAGTCAGAAGGTCAGTAGAGACCCTAAGAAGAGCTGTTTCAGTAGAATGAGCTCTACGAAAACCTGACTGGAAGCTATCATAGATGTTATGTTGATCAAGAGCAGCTGTGAGTTGTTCAGCCACAACCTTTTCCAAGATCTTGGAGATGAACGGAAGTTTAGAGATGGGTCTGAAGCTGCTATGGAGAGAGGGGTCGAGACTCAGCTTTGTAAGAATCGGGTGGATTACAGCCCACGCACCCCCCCGAAAATGGATGGGTGCATCACCCAAGTGGTGATTTTGCTGTGTGATTTTTGGTGTCATTACATTTTAAAATGGAGGAAAATTTGAAATTTTCATAAATTTCTCCCAAAATCAAAAACGTGTTACTAGATTAAACCAACTATTGTTGTATGATCAGCATGTGTGAAGTGTTTTGTTTTGTTAATTTTGTCACACTGGGTGACACAAGGGTGTTTTTTAACATCTTATCATTTTTGGTTATACTATTTTTTTGCATATGGCAGGTTCGTGGTCTTATCGGGAACAATTGCTGCGGTTGCAGAGGACAGATATTTTTGAAAAAAAACTTTGAAAGTTACATAAAAGGATGTAGTCTCACTCAGTTTAAGCATCTTTTATTTGAGTCTTCTTAATGGACAATACGTTCTGAGAATTTGGGAATATTTGCTCTTGACTGGCTAAAGGAAACAGAATATTTCAGGGGAACATAATTTCCCACAACACCTGTTTCACGTGGATCATGGTGCACCCAATGTAAACAAACTGGCTACCTCTACCAGCTAATGGATATGGAGCGATCCCTGGCTGCTCGTTAGCCACGGCTGGTGAAGGAGGGTTGGCGAGTCGGGGACATGCTGGAGATCAAGTAAACAATTGGGCCATTCCCATCTGTACCGGGTCGGCCCGGGCCGGGTAGCGTAGGTTGTTTACATATCTGGGTGGCCTGGTATTTTTCCGGGCCAACCAAGGCTCATTCTCAGCCCTCTTCTCGAGGGGGTCTGCTTCAGGCCGACCAGGGCCAACACACCCACTGCTGACAGCAAATTCACACCTTCCATTAGAGCAAGCCTCTGATTGGTGGGTAGAATCAGCCCACATGGGCTTAAGACAAGGATGTGTGGAATCATCCGGGCCAGGCTGGGGCCGACTGGGGCTACCCGGCCCGGGCCGACCCGGTACAGATGGGAATGGCCCAAATGTTGGCTCACGGCTGGCGTGGTGGAAATGGGCGTCATGAGCTGCTTGTTAGCCATAGCTAGAGCGAGGGGACATCATGTGTATGCTGTGCATAAACTGCCATGGATTATCAGCCAAAGGAGACCCAATTTTCTCAGAGTCGGAGAAGCACGTCATCTCTGTAAGGCCTCGAGAACTACACCGCTGTTAGTAAAGTGTGGAGATCAAGTAAACAACGCTGATTTAGCCTTTGGCTAGCGGACGAGCGCTGGAGCGTGTTGGGAGAGATGGCAGACGGTGGGAAGAGAGGAGACTTGAATAGGAGGACTTTGGAACGGACACATTAGGGCTGGGCAATCAGGGGCGTGTCCAGTGAGTGGCCTGGGGTAGCACATGCCACCCTTGGAATCTGATTGGCCACCCCAGGTGTCACCACACTAATTTACCTTTAAATAGGCTTTTCATTGTCCACAAAAGGCTTGGGGGGTAAAACAAAAAAAGCATAACCATTGGTGCCACCCATGCACAAAGTTGTGCCTCACCTGGGCCACCCCATTTTAAAAGATCTGGACTGGACACGCCCCTGTGGGCAATCTGGCAAAAATAGAATATTACGATATTTCAAATATTTTATCACAATTTCGATTTTATCCATGAATAGCATAACTTCAATTGCATATTAAAGAAGAGAAACATTGAATAAATAAGCATTTATTCAAATTAGGGATAATCAACACAGTGCTAACACACTAATATTGTAAACTCACACCAGTGATGATAAAAGTCCTGAGAGAAACAATTACAAAAATCAGTTTTTCTCGTTTTTCAAATAACTTAAAAATAAATTAAATTCGTAAACGTATTTAAAGTGCAAACATGTCAATTGCAAACGTATTGTGCAAACATTAACTTGTTCAAAACACTGATCAACTAATCAGGCACACATAAAGTTTCTTAATAAAATGTAACAGAGTTAGCGTTGTGTAAGCAGTTCTAACACTGGAGTAACGTCGTGAAGAAAATTATTCTTCCATCAATTCAAGCAAAACTAAAACGAGACAAGTCAGGTTTTTGCCAGGAAGATGAGTTTGCCCACCTTGTCTGGGTTTAGGGCCGCCCTTTGGCATGTGACAATATTGCCACCAGTGCTAAACTCTCGCTCAGAGGGAGAACTTGTTGCAGGGATGCGAAGATACTTCTGAGCAAGCTGACTCACTTTAGGAAAAAAGACCTCGAGGGTCTTCCACCATTCAAGTGGATTCATTTCACTATCCACATTGGGTGTGGACAAGTAGGCCTGCAGCGCCTTTTCAATCAGCTCTCTCAGTGTGGGTTCTTCAGCGGATGTTGAGGGAACTGCTGCAGTGTTGAAAAAGCAGGTCAACGACTTCCTTGTTTTCTTTGCTGGCTGTGTTTCAGGGCTTTGGCTTTGTGGTGTGGAGGAGGTAGCGGGCACTGGGTGCTCTGATTCAGGGGTCAGCAGAGACTCCAGCTCAGCCACAGCTCTGCTCAGCCTCTGCTCTTTCTCTGTGGTGTTAATGTTCTGGGATTTAAATCTGGGATCGACAAGAGATGCCATGTCTAACAGAGCATCAGTGACAGGATCCTGGCGCTTTTCTGTGAGGTAGTTGTCTAAGGATGTTTTTATCCAACACATTCTCACTCCCAGTGCGTCAAAAACAAACGCTTGGTCTGCCACCCCTCAGACCCCTGATGCCAAAAGTGCCCCTTTTCATCACTTATGTGCGAAAAGGGGGTTTTCCCTTTTCTGACTGCAGATCCCAATGCAGCATAAAACTGACGCGATGGGATATCCGCTGCTGCGGCACCGAACCAGCTCATTTAACCGCACCTAAACCATAACATTTTACTTTTTATAACCTTCCCCTCTCCCTCATCCTATCCTTAACCCTCTTGCTACCTAAAACGATACTCTCACTGTGATCAAGCGTTTGTTTCCCGTGCATTCTGACTGTGAATTTTCGTATTTGCCACCCAAGGGGAACGTTAGAACATACCATCTGGCGAGGGGGAGGTTACAAATACCTTGGTAGTTGAAACCTCCCCCTCGCGTTGCCTCGGTCCAAACCCGACCAATGACGAGGCGGCTCCCGCCGTTCACTTCGCTTTTAGAGCGACCGACACATCACTAACGTATTAGGTAGCAAGATGGTTAAGGTTAGGATAGGGGTGAGGGGAAGGTTAAATAACAAGAGGATGAGGTTAAGGTGAGGTACAATGAGCTTGTTTGGTGCCCTGGCTGCAGACATCCCATCGCGTCAGTGTAACGCTGCATTGGGATCTGCAGTCAAACAAGGGAAAACCCCTTTTCGCACATAAGTGGCGAAAAAGGGCACTTTTGGCGTCCGGGGTCTGACGCGGAGGGTGGCTGACCAAGCTTTTGTTTTTGACGCGCTGGGAGTGAGAATGTGTTGTTTTATCTGTGCTGTCAGCTCTGAGTCATCGTCCTCTGGTTTCAGAAGATTGTTATGTAGCAGATGCAGGTCAGGCTTCACATAGGAGACACTGACATAATCCTTCCCAGAGATTGCATCAGTGAAGTCTCGGAGTGGCCCTACGGCTTTCTTAATTGAGTCCATGACATCAAGGTCTTGCCAGGTGGGAGCCACATGTTTTGTTTTCTTGTCGGACTTGAGGACATGAGAGATGGCCTTTTCCTGCTGAAGTATTCTCTCAATTAGGGATGTAAGAAAATATCGATATGGCAATGTATCGTGATATTTTCCCCAGCAATATTATATCGATATTCAAAAGCCGTGTATCTAATTCTTGAAAGAATTTACATGCAAACATTTGTGTATTTTCTTTTCGTTTTGTGCAATTCAATCGCCACCCGCTAGTTGTTAGCAGTGTGTGACGGGTTTTGTTTCCACCATTGAAATGTAAATCCCTCCATCATGGTTCAGATACCTCGTGTTAAACATGTTACGTATCAGATTTGACTGTTTATTGAACATTCTTACAATAAATTCAGCAAAAAAATTGCTTGTAACGTCTGACTGAATGTATCGCGATATATCGTATCGTCTCCCCTGTATCGTGATATGTATCGTATCGCCAGAATTTCAAAAATACACATCCCTGCTCTCGATCACTGCTAATCTGGAACCCCATCGAGTTGGTGATTCTGTTTTCAGCTTCTGCTGGGGTAGATTCATGCTTGCTTGGGCATCCGTGAGAGCTCGTTTCTTTTTCCAACTAAGGGAAAACGTGCTGACCACTTTCTTGCAAACTGAGGTTGCTCTTTCAATCCGGGGATCTCTGGAGCCATTTAATGAAACAAATAATTAAACAAATTAAACGTGTTCAGGCAACTATTTGAAAACAGTTTATAACACAAATGTCAAGTTTATTTTCCCACATGCCTCCATCATGACTCCATCTAAAAGGCTAGGTTATCCAGAGTTATCTCTGTAGTTATGCTGCTATAGGGGAGGGGGAGGGGAGCTCTGTCTTTCCTGGAGGCCCTCTCCTCCTCCTCCTCCTCCTCCTCCTCCTCCCCCTCTCTCTGGTGCCCAAGATGCCTCAGAGTTGCAGGAGACCTCAGGTGCCCACTAACTTCATCACCATTGCACACAGCAAAAATAAGTGTTCTGCAGGAGTCTAATATATGTTGAATATTTGTTGCAAATTTTTCAATAGTACATAGTTTTCCTTTTCGCTCACTGCTAATAATTACCATAATAAAGAATATTTCATGATTATATACATGCATAGTTCCCGAAAGAGGGAAAACTCTAGATTGCTGCTTTAAAATGTAACTTGTAAAGTTTCCCATAGTCAGATGTGTTGTGAACATTAGACTGATCCTCCTCCTCCTTTTTTTTTAGTCCATCGCCATAGCAGACATGGACCACAGCCAGCTGGAGGCCTTCCTCACAGCTCAGACCAAGAAGCAGGGTAGCGGTCGGGTGAGTGCAGAGCAGGCTGCTGCCCTCTCTCGCTTCTGGAAGAGCCAGCGAGTGAGGGTGAGGGAGAGCTTACTGGCCCAGAGTCGATGGGAGACCACTCTCAAGGGTCTGTCCTGGAGAGTGGACCTTCAGGCGGCTGACAACCTTAGGAACTCCGACCACAGTGACCCAGTTGCCCTGATGGAGCTGGAGCTTGGCAGAGATGGGCAGGTGAGAGTTGAATCCAGTTGTGAATCTGTGTCCACATAGACGCTGTGTAGATGATCAAATGTTTTTTATTACAGACAACCAGCATCAACACGTACATACAGCCACCAGTGAAAGCCCCCGACTGGAAGTGGGCTGTTTCTTTTACGCAGTTCTGTCATGAGCATGCCTCGTGCACGCCCTTACACAACAGTTAAACGTGGCAGTTTGTGACTCAGATAAGACAGCATCACGGGAGAGCCAAGTCTTTGACATTAATTTAGAATTCTCCACCCGATAACAGGTTAAACTTTCCAACGTTGACTTTTAGCTTGGCAATCGTTGTTTGAGAATACTGGTATTAAAAGTTTGGACCGCTGGTCGTTAGCTTATAATAATAATACATTTTATTTCAAGCGCCTTTCAGAGCTCTCAAGGTCACTGTACAAGGCAAAATATAAGGAACAGCAAGCAATACAAACAACAAGAAATAAGTGCTAAGAGTAATTCCCAAGGGTAGAGTCAGAGCAGTACAATGGATAATAGACTAAAAAGAGTAGATGGAAGGAGGACAGTTACAATGAGTAAGCCAGGCAGAACATGTGAGTTTTGAGTTGAGACTTGAAGGTTGAGAAGGAGTTAATATTGCGGAGGTCAGGCGGTAGAGTGTTCCAGAGTTTTGGAGCTGAGTGGCTGAAAGCTCTGGCTCCCATAGTACAGAGACGAGTGCGAGGAACAGACAGGGAAGGTGAAGATGATGATCGGAGAGAGCGAGTGGGAGTGACAATGTGGAGGAGATTATAAAGATAGGGGGGAGCGAGATTATGGTTGGCTTTCAAGGCATGAAGAAGTATCTTATAGTCAATTCTGTATTTGACAGGGAGCCAGTGAAGTTGTTGCAGAACAGGGGTGATGTGATCAAAAGTGGAGGTCTTATGGGCTCGACACACGGGAGGCGACAAACGACCGCGATCAGCGAAATTTGTCGCTGCCGCTTTTATTACCTGACACACGGGAGACGACCCGCGGCCAGCGGCAAAGCCGTCTACGCGTTCTGTTCCATGGCGAAATCGAAACTTCCGTTGTTTAGCTTGGCTGTGTCAGGATGGAGGGAATTAAGGTTGTTTAAGCAGTTCAGAGTTAATAAAGCGGTAGATATGATGTTTCACAAGGTGCTGCTAGAGTTATGTGAAATCTTACTTCTGATTTTACTTTATAAAACATATTAATAATCAACTTCTCCTCCATGTTTGCTCGGAGGTGTACGGAGCATCCTGTCCGCTCATTGGTCAGTGAATGAAACCTCCGTTGATTGGTCCTCGTCCGAACGACAGCGATGAAAAGTTGAAAATATTTCAACTTTCTGGGATTGCGTCGCTGGGTCGCCTGCGCACAACACGTGCACGAGCGCAAAATTTCACACGCACGTTTTTCGCATTTCGCTTGGTAGGAGGGAGACGCACGATTATCGCTTTGTCGCGCACGTCTCATAGAAGATGAATGGAGGAGAGGCGATGTTGCCTCCCGTGTGTCGAGCCCATTAGTGATTATCCGGGCAGCTGAATTTTGGACTAACTGTAGCTTGTTGAGTGATTTTAGAGGGAGACCGGAGAGGAGGGCATTACAGTAATCGATGCGACTGGTGACCAGGCTGTGGACCAAAATAGCAGTGGAGTGCTGACTGAGGGAGGGGCGGAGCCGATTGATATTGCGAAGATGAAAATAAGCACTTTTTATTGTGTTGTTAACATGAGGAATGAAGGATAAGGTGTTGTCTTATCTGATCAGCAGTTCTCATAATGTACTTTAGCTTTGTGTGGAACCAACTGCACAAACAATTCCTTTGCAGCTCTTGGTAAAACAGCACATTAACATCAACATGAGACGAACAGGCATTCTGACAAATGATCCACAGTTCACTTCTATACCATTCTTACAGATGACCTCTTGACCTTTACGGCCACTACAGTTGCTCCTCATATTAACAAAGCAAAAAACACACAGCTGAACTTTGTGTTTGTCAATTATGTAACTTGTGACTTTTTTTATTTTCTGTTTTTAATCAGTTTTAACCTGAGGCAGCAAGATGTCGCAATGAGAAGAGGCAGAGAAAAAATAAAAATACCCAACAAATAAAATGGCCAGGGCTGCACGTAAAATATATTTTCTACAATTTTTAAAATATTTTTCAAGAATTATCGATATCGATCAATATAAAAAAATTATCAATATACTTTTTTTCTATATCGTCCAGCCCTTCGTAGACCTTTCCACAGTGTCGGGGCAGCAACTGAGAATGATAGATCACCAATAAAATTCCTCTTCAATCTTGTGACGAGTAACATAATCTGCTGACCTGAGAGGGAGAGAGGGAATTTATGTCTGCCATTGGATAGATAAAGAGGATTGAGGCCATGAAGACATTTAAAAGCAAACCGGGTGAAGGAATGCTAAAATGGATGTGATGTCTTCACCCTTTCTGTTACCAGTTAAAAGCTCAGCAGCAGCATTTAAAGCCTAGTCTAGAAAGTGACTTTTGACTGAGGCTGTGCTAAAAGCATGAGCCATATGTTTCAAAGTGATGCACGATGGGAGATGTTTTACCTTAGATAGCTGACTCAAGAGGAAAAGTTAGATTTGACAGTTGAGTTTATCTGTTCATTAAATTTGAGGTTGCATTTCAGCCCTACACCAACATTTGGTACCATAGCTGTCGTATGCAGACCTAATAAGCCCAGATCAACATGAGGTTTTTAGCTATCACTAGGTCCAAACAGCAAAACGTTGACACACAAGAAGTTAAATGATATGCCAGCTCAGATTTTCGCAGAACAATTTAACAGACTACTTGCAGAACAGTTGTTTTGCTGATCCAGCGAAATATAGATCTGAGTGTTGTCTGCATAGAAATGAAAAGACATTGAATATTTACTGAGAACTGAACCCAGAGGAAGCTGATACAACGAGAAAAAGAGAGGTCCCTGGGACACAGACACAGAACCTTCCTTCTGATCTATAAGACCTGAACCACTCCCAAGGCAGTGCCTGGTATCCCAACCAAGTTCTCAAAATGAGGCAAGTTGATCTGATGGTCTTATAGTCCCAAAGGCAGCTGGACGGTCCAGGAGAACACGAACAATGCTGTGTTAATCTAAGAACTACTTCAGCTGACGTTGTACAGTTTCTCCAGGATTTTAGACAGGAAAGTCTACAGACAAGATTATCAAGTGGGGTGGGTTCTAGACCATGATTCTTGATCAGTGGGTTCACCAACTACTTTTCTAAAACTCACAGATTAACTAGCCAAAATAAATCCACACAACTGAACTGTTTGGTCCCTTATTGTCAACGGTGTAAGCTGTGATTAGGGGTAGGCGATATGGAAAAAAAGAATCCTATCACGATTTTGTTGTTTCAAACTTACCATCACGAGTTTATCAAGATTTTTTCTATTTTGACAATGCAAAATATTTGGAAGCTATTTACCATTATAATACATACATTTAAAATCACCCCCCTTCACAGAAAATAGGATAAAATATTTCAAAATCTTAAAATTTCATTCTATCTATCTATCTATCTGTCTGTCTGTCTGTCTGTCTGTCTGTCTGTCTGTCTGTCTGTCTGTCTGTCTACAGTTGAATGCTAGAGATACATGTCTCAAATGTCTCACAGGCACTTTCATTTAATTATATATTTATAATAATGTAAAATAATTTAAATTGTATTTAGAGGTGGCTCATACCCTTTAATTCACAGTTGCTAGTAATTATTTCTTGTCCTTAGATAAAAAAAAGTTGAGCTAAAAATTGATGATGCATCCTGATCTCATGCATTTTCTAGTCAGGATTACACTCCCTATTACACTCACCATTAGTCCCTCACTCCTCTCCATAGCTGTCTCCTGATTACGCGGGGGAGGGGTTTGGTATAAACATTGCTCAGGCTGGCATCCACAATGCAACGGCTGTCTAAAACACACACAAATGTCTCCAAATAATAAAAGTCATAAAGCTAAATGCAAAGTTTAGAGCAGAACATTGACCCAGAGGTTCCCTGATCAAGCAGATACGTGAGAATACACTTAATGACCGCTTAGAGACTGAGCAAGCTAGTGGCTAATGCTAGTAGCTAGCCGCTATAATCGAGTATGGTGTACTTTTTCAAAGATTCATAATCATTTATGTCCGCATCTTAATGCATCAGTTGTTATTTTTCTCAGCTCTACCGAGCAACACAGCTAAACAAGCCTTAAACTTGCTCTGGGTCTTAGAAAAATCACGATCCAATTCCATCTGGCAAAGCAAATAATCAAGGCAAAGGCTTAAGATTTTACAATTACCTACAAACACGCACAGTCTTGCTGCACCTAATACGCCGTTTTACAACTTGGCCTGTCCTGTGCGCTACTTTTGGATTTGGTTACATTCATATATTGACAGAGAATCTTGTGTTGACTCATGATCATCCACACAGCCCGTGGAGCTTGATCACATGCGAGGCAAAGAAACTAAACTCACAAATAAAGCAGAACCTGACTATTTACAGTAGTATTAAAATATTTGTAAGTTCCTTGGAAGGAAAAATGTAAAGTCTCTATTGTCTCCCATCACCCAAAACCCTGACTTTCCCCCAAATGTCAATTCTTGTGTGTTCCCCTTTTGGAGGAGTATGGGGCTTAATGTACTGGGAGACTTATTCAGAGAGAGAATACCATACTCTTTCCTGCAGCTGCAACTGACATTCAGCATCCCTAAACCCAATTTTTTTTGGAAATTTACAGATTAGGAACTTTGTGTAATCCCAATTTTCTTTCATTACTAACATCTCTTACCATGAGGTTGAGAGTTTTCTTTTAAAGTGCAACAGTAGGAAACATTTCATAACAAAGTATTACTTTCGTCTTAGTTACTCTGGCACGTACCATCTGCATGTGAGAGAAACCCACAGGCTGCATATTGCTCCCCTCATTTTAAACAAAATTGACCACTCTATCTACCCTCTCTGCATCAAGTGCCTCTTAAAAACATGGACATGTCATTGTTTTTGGACATTTGAATTTATTTTCAAAGCCTGTACACTCATTTCAAAGGTTATCAATAGGATGTTTCAAATAAAACTAAAAAAAAGTGTCTCTCAAGATAAAAATCAGGAGGTGCTTCACAAGAACAAAAATGTTCTTACAATTAAAAATGATTAAAGAATATCATAAAACTGGGAGAAGTTCTAAATTGTGATTAGGAAAAAATGATGAACGGTAAGAGAAAGTGAAAAGGAAAGATGTAATCAGTAGATCCTGGGAAAGGTAGAATTGGTAGGATCTGATGAGTCACAAACATTTAGACATCTCTTTTCCAGACCGATCTATGTAAGATGCAGCGATAGCTCATCATAAGGCAAACGTTAGCACAAAACATCAGGTAAACATCTGAATGCCAAAAGAAAAGTTAATGTCCGTCACATTTTATATTCCCAGATATTCTCATCACAGCTCACAGTCCCCGAGTTGACTTTTCATTTCGGTGCGGTTTTACAGCATAAGCTAATATTTGACAGATCTTCGACATTGCTATCTCTCCACTATCAGAGCTGATGAACTGACAGCTCTCAACAGCAGATTTCATGTAACTAAAGTCTTTTCCTCCTTCTCTTCTTCCTCTCAGGACTCTGAGTTCTTGTGTTTGGAGTTTGATGAAGCCAGAATGAACCAGATGTTGAAGAAGATGGCTGACATCCAGGAGAGCATCGACAGAGTTGTTCACCATGCCTGAAACTCCATGAGAATCCTTTGGACCGGGAGTTAATAGAGTTTTGAACACGCCCATACTGGTTCTCTGCTGTGGTTGTTCTTCCTTCTTCAGCAGCATTTCACAGAAACATGAGCTGTTAAGATCCTCAGTGACCAGACGGTGTTTGCACATGAAGGACAGTGTAAACAACAGAAGATTACCATAAAGTGCAGCAACAGCACACACTTCATTCTTACATATTTACTGATTGTTTAAATGAAAAAGGTCCGGGGGCAGGATTTAGTAGCCGTGGCGCAGCGCCGCTATTGAGCCTACTGTATGTAAGGGAAACACTGCAGTAGTATCAGTTGGGGACTGTTAAATATTCATTATTCAAAATATTCTTTCCTTCGATTCATAAATCCACTCGTGTTAGCAGAAAATCAAAGCTCTAATTGGTGTCTTCTTATGTAGTTCTGTGATGGAAAGTATGAAAACTGTTATTTCAATTCAATGTTTTTAATGCAAAGAGATCTGAAAACACAAGAAAAATGTTGTTCACCAGGTATGAGTCAATAAAATCAGTTGTGTTGGCAAACATCTCATGCGACAATTTATATGAGGATAATGTTGGTTTTGCATATCATCAATTGGTGCAAGCCATTATTCAATGTTTCAATGAATGTTTCCCTTTGAATACATCTATCAAAAGGCTTAATCAAGCATTTGGTAGGTCATGGTACACAACCGACCTGAGGAAGCTGCTTAAAAAAGTTATATAGAACATACATTTTGAACCTGACTCCACTTAATCATGCTATTTATAAATCATGGAGAAATAAATATAGAACTTTTCTGTATCTTCGTTCTGTGTGTTGATTCATAATTTTTTTTTTATTTAACACATTGAAGTAATTAGACAATTTATTTTTATCAAACCATTTTTTTTTTACTTTAAACATTTCTGCAGAAAGTATTTCCATTAGTTCGTTTAATTTTTCCCCTGAACAAAAAATATTTGTGTCATCAGCAAACATTACAAACTTTAATATTTCTGAAACCTTACAAATATCATTAATATATAGAATAAATAACTTTGGACCCAATACTGAACCCTGTGGTACACCATAAGCAATGTCCAAGTATGTTGACGAAAACTGTCCCACTTTAACAAATTGCTTCCTGTGGCTCAAATAACTTGTTAACCACTTCAAAACAATCCCCCTAATCCCGTACCGTTCTAATTTGTTAATTAAAATGCTACGATTAATTGTGTCAAAGGAATTCTGAAGATCCCAAAAAATTCCCGCAGCAAAATGTTTACGATCTATTGCATTTGTGATTTCCTCAACAGTGTCCATTAATGCTAATGAAGTTGATCTATTAGATCTAAAGCCATACTGACTTTCTGATAATATCATACACTTATCCAAAAATAAATCCAATCTTTACGTAACAAGTCCGGACCTGTTACTAGGGGCTTCGTCCGGATAAATTCCGGAACACGTTATCCGGATGTTTGTATTCAGACAGAAAGGTCTTACGGACAGATTCCGGAACATTTCCGTTTTTCATGGCCTGTCTGAAGGGGGCTTAAGTGAGTCTGTTGATTTATAGGCTGTACGGATGGGTAGGGTATAGGTGAAGGTTCTCAGTTCCAGGTCGCTATAACGTCTTGTTCTTTGCGCCAAGTAGTTGTTGCTTCTGGATGAAGATGACTGAGTGCTGACAGATCCTGTCATGGGTGTGTGTTATGTTCGTACCTCCAGTTTAGGCTGACTGTTCATACTTGTCCGGTTCACTGATGTTTCTGATGACCATTACTTTAGCGTGCTCCGGTGTTCCGTTTCATTTAATAAATACTTTGCAGTTTGTAGTCCATGTGCGTTGAATCCTTCCTTGTTTTTTCAAGCTGCGCGCTCTTCTGGCGATATCAGCGTTTCTTTTAGTCAGGTGATCGTTCATGTACACATTGGAGCCCTTCAGCTTTTTCCCTTGTTTTAGCAATGCTACTTCATGCTTTCTGTTAGCAAACCGAAGGACGACGACTGGTTTTTCATTCTCCTTCCACCGTGATAGAGGTTGGCAAGCCTCCATTTTGTCAGCCTCTATTTCAATTCCTTTAGAGTGAAGCTAGGTAACAACCTGCTGCTCCGTCGAGCTGACGTCCTCCTCGCTGACCTCCTCTGCTGTCAGCAGTCACAGTCCGGGTATATGAACGGGGTTTTATGCTAAGTCCCGTGAACGTCGTTCATTCTGTTATATTGTTCAAGATCCTCCACTCGGTTTTCCAGATACGCCAGCTGTTTGTCCTTCTCCGAGTTCTGAATCCGGAGCGCCTTCACTTCCTCCACCAGGCCCAAGATCGCTTTGTGCTGCATTTTCACAACAGAGATCTCCTCCGACATAAATTTCAGCGATTTTTTAATATCATCGCCATCTTCTACTGTCATTCCCTTCTTTGGACCCATCTCCGTAGTGCTGAGAGGTTCGGAGAAGAAGTTCTGTTGGTGATGCTCTAAAGGCCCGCTCGCCAAGCAACTCAGGGTGTCTCCTTCTTCACTCCTCCTCCTCCTGTGTGCCGTTTGCAAGTGACGACGATGAGCGGAGGTCCATTTCTTCAGGTGTTTCGTAAAACACGAGACAATTGTAGAATCAGTTCCTGGGTTTCTATCAAACATCTCTAGCAAGAGTCTTTTGTTACAAAGCAGGTCTCTAGAAACTTTCTTATAAATCTTTTTACAGATTTTGGATGCGTTTTCTGGGTGAATAAAACCGTTTTGACCTTCGTTTTTAACTTCAGCCCAGATCTTGTTGACAAAATACTCGTATGTGTCTTGATAGACCTCATACGTGCAGCCTGACGGTGCTTCTGCAGCAGCCTTCGTAGTCACTTTCCAGACAAGTTGACTGACAAGTTTGTGGAAACATTCATTTGCATCTCCAAGCTGCGTAAAGCTCTCTCCACACGGCGGCGGCTCTGAATGACCACCCACAGAAAGATCCCCTGTTTCTTGGCGCTGAAAAAGTGACTCTTGTATAATTTGTGACGGTAGATCCCCCGTCTCTAAAACCTGCTCTTTACCGTCTCTTATGTGGGCTAAAGGTGACAGATTTGCATCTTTTACTGTCTCTGATGACGGTAGCTGAGATCTGCAGCTCGGTACTTTAATGGTTTCAGACAAGATGCCATCCTCTGGTAGTGGAACCCCTGAAAACTTGTTGTTTGAAACTAAATTCACATCATGTGAAATGAGTGAATTTTCAAGAAATCCTATGATGTTAGAAACTATTTTTTCACATGTGAGTTCTTCAGGCATAGAGATGTCGCGTGTTATTGTTTCTAATTCCTCTAAGAAATCAGATCTTTCTGTGAATATTCTTTTTAAAAACGTAAATGTAGTCCCCTTCATACATTTTAGGACAAATTTTCTCAAACGTTTTTTGTCCATAGGATTTGTCTTCCATTCTTCTTCCACCGCAGCCCAGACTTTGCCAAAATGATACTTGCATAAGACTTCTTCTACCTCAGGTGACAATCTAAATAATTTAGCAGGCCAATGAACCATTTTGCGTATATAGTTAGCGACATCAATTTTAGGAAAATCGTTCATCTCATCACTGCTCTGTCCACCAATCTCAAACAAATATTGTGTATAGTCTCTTACTTGAGAAAGTGTTATGACATCTTTTTGGTTTTCCATCGCCCCCTCCTCCTCCTGGGTTTCCTGATTTTCCATCTGCATAGAGGAGACTGAATCTTGGTCTAGCTCCACAGATTCAGAGCGATGCATTTTTGTCGATTTTCTCTTAAAAGCTTTCGATACGGCTGTCCCTATAACTGAAAAGAACTTTCTGATACCAGATTTTACACAGTGTTTCTCCAGCTGTCGTAAAAACATTTGAATAAATTCATTATTCATTACTGGGCATTTCTCCAACAAAGCGTTCAATAAGTGTCCTTCACTGCAGACAATGGTGTAGCGAATGCCACGGAAAGTCCTAATGAAGGTTTTGTCAAAATTGTCTGGGGTAATAGAGAACTCATGTAGTTTAGTCTCTACTGCATCCCAGATTAAGTCAAAATAATAATCATAGATTTTCTCCTTGGTTGTTTCTGAACAATGCTGAGACAACAGTGCTGCTGCATATTCAATTGTTTCCATCAAAAGTTCACTCACAAATGCTTTTGTGACGCCCTCTTTGCTAACACTTGAATCCATTTTAAATCTTCTGTCTTCACAACTTGTCTCCAAAGAATATAATTTATTTCAGGTACTGAACCTTCGCCTGTCTCATATAAAGTGATACGAGTTGATCCCTCGAGAGGACGTAACTCCTTTGTGACGTCACGATGTCTTTGATGACGTGATCACAACACTACTACACCCTTGCTTCCAAAGTTCAACCGCACAGACGTCGACGTCGTAGACGGACGTAAACGTAAACTGACGCGGACGCTGGCAGACCTTAATTTATGTCCGGTGTTTTTTTTTAAATTAATTAATTTATTTTTAATAAAACTGGGTATCTGTACATATCAAAGAAATAAAGCACACAAGTACAAAACAAACAAAGGGGCAAAAGTACTAAAACATTGTTCAAATTTTAAGAATACAGAGCACAATTACAGAATAAATGGGGAAGGGAAAGAAATTATTACCAGTTATCTAAGTTAAAATTTTCAAATAACTTCCAATTTTTTATGGCTTTTAATCTATGTTCGGTGTTCTGTCTATCCCTGCTTGCTTGTCGAATATTCCTACCGCAGCGTGTTACGACGTTTCGCACTTGTTTACAGTATAGCAACAGGTTGTCGGTCCATGCTTCCGCGTTTCACGGGTATTTTTTTTTTCAAAACTTTATTGAACAAGGTGATAAGTATACAAACAAATTGTATACAAAATTGAACAAAGAAGATGAAAAATGTGCCAGGGGGTGCACTACAGAAATGTTACACACATCCAAATAAATTATAGGTGGTGCAAATAGTTATAGTTTTTAACGCTTTTTTGTTTAGTGATCCACTAATCAATTTTATGTAAGATAGAGTGTCACTATAATAGTGCTTGAACCACGTTTCACGGGTAAGTTGGAGAAGGCATGAGTATACCGTGCTCCCTCTTGTGGCTATTTGGTGGTATTACAACTGGCTGGCCAAATCTTGTCTGACTGGCAAAAGTGATTAAAAAAAACATCTGCAACATAAAACCCGTTATTAAAAATAATATTTAGGCCCGAGCAGCGAAAGCGCTGCGAAGGCCTCTTGTTTTTGCTCTGATTATTATTATTATTATTTATTATTCCGTGCGCGAAATGAATGGCTTTTTGGGGACCTTAACATACCCCAAAACTCACAATATTTTGCACAATTGTCAGGCCTGGTGAAAAATTTGATATTTTAAAGGTCCCAAAAAAATCGCAAAGAAAATGGCTGAACAGCGCCCCCTACAAAGTGAAAAAAACCCCTCTCCATAAAGCTTAGTTTATCGTACAGTTATGAAATTTGGTACACTTGTAGTACTCAACAGTCCGCACAGAAAAGTCTCTTGCAAGCATGGTCAATATCAAACAGGAAGTCGGCCATTTTGGGATGAAAT